ATAATTTAGGGCTCCCACCCACCGCTCAGGGGTGGGGGCCAGGGGGGAAGACATTAGGTCCCCCCCTTATTATAATTTAGGGCCCCCACCCGCCGCTCAGGGGTGGGGGCGAGGGGGGAGGACATTAAGTCCCCCCTTATTATAATTTAGGGCCCCCACCGGGGGGAGGCAATAGGACTTTTTTTTTTTTTTAACAACAGTTAGCAGCCACAGGCTGCTCACTGTTTAATAGACATGCCCCTACTTGCGGTATAGCGAGTAGGGGCATAATTTACTAAAACTAAGTAATCTTTACTTAGTATTAGTAAATTTGGCTGAAAGACCTAAATTGGTAGAGTTATCTACTTATCCATTCCTGTCATTACAATGACAGGCTAAGTAACTTACATTTTATATGATTGTATGTCACTTGATTGTTGTAAGTGTTGCAAATGCTTACAGCTGAATCCTGGCTATGTTTGTATAATTTTTATTTAAAATTGTTTACAATGTAACATTCTTCTTCTTTCACTGGGTAAGTATTTTAGTACTTAGGCAATACTGTGCTTCGGAACTTCGGAACTTTGACACTTCGGAACTTCTGCAACTTCGGAACTTCGGCACTTCAGCACTTCGGATATTCAGTAATTTCGGAACTTTGGGACCTAGGCAATTTGGCACTTTGGCAATTTGGACATTCCGAAGTACCAGAATGTCCAAATTGCCCGAAATTCGTCCGAATTCATATTCGAACCGAAACAAATTGCACATGTCTAACACACATCCCATTTCCCATTACATACCATCTAGTTCATCTCCACTCTCTGTATCCTATGCTAATGTCTATACACTAACAATGTCATAGGATGTTTTAAACTCAGACAATATAATTCCAACGCTTTTTGTTTTCTACTGAATTACATAGAACTGTAAAGGCTAATGCTGACATCCCATCTGTTTGAGAACCACATTTCCCATGATTCACAACCAGTCTGGAAGATGGAAGATGGAAATTGACACAGTGGCAAGCTGGTTCACAGAATTCTTTATACTATGAGACAGCCCTGGACAACCTTGGGCCATACCATTGTCATAAACTGAATTCGTTGTTATTGGATAACTTTGCGTCTATTACATAATGAGATACTTTTGGTTTAATCCAGTCTAATCTAGTGGGCTGAATATGGATTAATGTTTGATTTGTGTGCTCAAGGTTAAACTCTGTAGATAAATCTGTAAAGTTTCATAGTGAACGTGTGTATGGCATTGCACTGGTTGTCTATGTAGGTCATGGTGAAATGACAACGACTTAGATCCACTCTTCTCTCTACACATCTTGTTATATAAGACCCAATGTCCCAAAGAATACCAATATAGTAATATTATTCCATCGCTCTCCCTTCCCGACCTTGTAATCCAATCTTAACCTTTTAATCTCTTCCTTTGCTCAGCTCTGCCAACTCATGGCGCTAATGCTCATTCAGTGATATGAAGAATGACAGATGAAAAAAAAGACTAGAAGATTTCATTTCAATGTCATTTGCTGACCCTTGCCACGCTGTTGAGCAATTAGAATTTTTTTGAAGAGCAGTAAAGTGAAGTCATAATTCTACTCCACTCTCTGTTGGAACAGCAGGGGGTTAAAATGAGATGATTATCATACAGATTAAAGTCAAATAGCCTTTCCCCGCCTTCTAAACGAAGGAAGGAAAGATATACAGTCTCATGTCTTTTGTGACTGATCTGTGAATCCTTGTGATCTCGAGGAGAAAAGAGAGGCTTGTGATTAAGAAGGGGAAAAAAAGAAAGAAGTAGGGGGTGATTGGCAGTGCTGGTGATTATCTACAGAACATTTTGGATCTTGAAATTAGATGTTTAAAGGGACAATGTACAATGCAATATCTTGAATTCCACTGAATAATTATAAATTGTCATAAATGGATTGCTCAGCTGAGATGGACATTGATTTACTCCATAGAACCAAATGTAGAAAAGTAACTTCTTTATGGCTTCCACAGCCGCTAATAGATTTTAATATTTTTTGCAGCATGTCGTTTTTTACTTTTCCCGAGCATAATCTTTTTCTGGTTTCTAGACAAGGTGAAGTAAGTGGCAATGGCTAGAAGGAAGTTACTTTTAAAAGTAAATATTATTGATTATATATATTGAACAATTATACATTTAACAGGCTAGAGGTGAAGGACAAGTGACACTAGAATATTTTTGTTATTATTTTAAGAATCATTGCAGTATATTATGAAAAGTAGTATTATTTTAACTGATGTATATCTAAAAATACCTGAAGTTTTGGGCCCTGCTTTCACAGAACAGTAGATCGCTTTGCTATATTCATACAGCTTAGGTCGGATTGAGGTAGAATCTGACCATTAGGCTGTTGCTTCACTCCCTGCACAGAGTGATCATCCATCGCTGTGTGTGGTTGCCTGGTCCGAATTCCGACAAATTTTGTAACATGAAATCACTGTTCTTCCAAACTCATCCAAACCAGCACCGAAATCACAGATTGCAAGTGAATGATAATTTGAAGAACTCTTTGCTCGTTGACAGCTCCAGCAGCCAGAGGGCAAATTGTTAAATACAGTTCATCAGGTAAGTGCATTTCTTTTATTTATCTCACCTGTACTATAAACATACTACACTATATTCTACACTTCATCTTCCTTTCATTTGAGCATTAGCCTATCCGGATCTGGACTGGAGAATACCCTTAAGTAACTGCTCACTCAAATTTTTCTCTGCAGGTAGTTAAAAACTCCCAGCAGAGCGATAGTTAATTGTGTGGTGGCTGCCCAGCACTTGTGAGTCAGTAGCCTCATGGAAAAATAATTAAAGAAATTAGTAAATTGAAATCATATGGGGGTCAATAAGACCCCCCCCATATTGCTACAATTAAGGTATATTACCTCTATATGCCACCATCTGTCGTCCAGCAGATGTTAAACATTAAAACTGACATGGCAAATGGGGGTATATGGAGGTAAAATACCTCCATTAAAGCAATATTGAGGTCTTATTGACCCCCATGGGATATTTCCATGTGGAAACGCGCTAACAAGCCCTGGCCAGTCGCCACATAATTAACTTTCATGTTGCAGAGGGTTTTTAACTATTTGGCGCTGTCGGCAGGCAAATAATTCTTTAAATTATCATTCACTTGCAAGCAGCAAGTGGATGATAATTTGTGATTCCAGGTGCTGTTGGTTGGTTCGGATGAGTTCAGAAAAACAGTGATTTCCTATTACAGAATCGGTCGGAATTCAGCCGGAATTCGGACGAGGCAACCACACACCGCGATGGCTGATGACATCACCACTCTGTGAAGGGAGTGAACCAAGAGCCTAACAATCAGATTCTACCTCAGTCCGACCAAAAGTATATGAATATGGCAGCGGGATCTAGTGTTCTGTGAAAGCAGGGACCTTCAGGTATTTTTTACAAAGACTTGATTTAAGAAAAAAAGGCCATATCTTTTCATTATATAAAAAAAGATCAGATGGCCGTTTTCATTTAATTGAAAAACAAAACTAATATATTTGGGCCACATTATCAGTGTTGGAACGTCTTCTTCCCAGCATTGTTCAAACCTGGTTATTGTATCTTAAATTTTGCAATAAACCATATTTCACTGTTTAACAAATTAACATTTTACAATCCAGTCAACATAAAACTAGTTTTCCATAATCCGAGATCTAGTTGAAATGCAGGAAGCTTAGATCCAAGGCAGTCATGCTATTTTGTGACCTGTTAAAAGAGTGTGTCAGATTATCATGTGAGCGTCTCCTGCGGCAACAAAAAGTCTTATAATTAGATTGTAGTGCTAATGACAGGATTTGCATAGCATTTAAAACAGCAATACATTAAGGTATTCCATCTATAGTTATTATTATCACTTTCTACCTTCAGTTCAGCGACTGTGAAAGGAAATTGTGATGGTATATTGGCGAGATTTTAGAATTCTTTGTGTTGTCTCGATTGATATTTTACGAGATAGCAATGTTTCGATGTGAAACAATGTTGTATTGACTAAACACACAAGGCCCATTCCGCAGCCAAAGCCAAGAGGGCAGCGATACCGTACACAGCTCGAATCTGAGAACAAGACATACATCGGAGATTTGTGAAATCCGACCTTCTTCATTTTACCTGTCGCTGACACAGCAGAGAGAAGATACAGACACCACGCTCTGTCATCCCTGGAGATGTCAGTATCTCTGTACGCAAGTGGAATTAGTCCATGAAGGATCAATCCCAAATGCTGAAATAATCATAGTCAAACAGCTGCATTATCGTCTTGCTTCGAGTTGAGGGTCATTGTTATAATAGGATTCTTCTTTTTTCAGCTGACACATTGTTTAGTAATAGGAAAAATATCAGTGTCTGGTAGCAAATGTAATATAATGAAATCTCAAAAAGCTCTTTTTTAATTAACTTCCATACTGTACTGTCATAATGTGCATGCATTTTGGTGAAATTTAAACTGTCCACCATCTAATCCATTTCAGGGCATGTTTGATCAGTGCATATGTGACAGGTTCCACAGCCTTAAAACGCTGCTAAGTGGTGTCTAGTACAAGGAAAAACTGAATGTCTGTTACCTTTCACCCTCAGTGCAACCTATAGCAGTTAATGTAAACATCAAACATGAAACCAAATTTGGAACCATCACTCACAATTGACTGAGCAATGAGAGGGAGCAGGACTGTCATGTTGCCAACGCTAAAATAGATTGTACCTCACATAATCCTGGGACGCAAAGTTTCTGCAGTACTCAGGGTTCTGGCATGTGACATAATTCACAACACCATCACTCACAATTAACTGAGCAATGATAGGAAGCAGGGATAGAAAACATTTGACTGCATATGTGTATGTGTATGTGTACAAACTCCAGGGTTATTATTCACTTTCCGATGCTTGTCAGCATAGTATACAAAATAGCAACCGAAGATAAACTTTGTATCCAAGTTTAAAATGTAACTTTTTTTCACAGAGTATCCATAAAAAGGTCGACGTTTCAGCTTTAGAGCAAAACTTGGTTTTCCTGATTAATGTTTTGCTCTGAAACTGAAATGTCGACTTTTTTATGCATACTCTGTGAAAAAAGTAATGTTTTAAATTTGGATACAAAGCCCCTGGAATGCTATCTTCAGTTGAGATCCAATTTATATTTATTTTAAAACCGTGTAGTGAAGTGAAAGCAGGGAACCCTCTCTTGCTCGCCACTCAGTAGGTTGCCCAATAATGGGCTGGGGTCTTGGCATATCGCCTGTCGCATGCAATGTGCCTGGTCTAATTTTCCAATTACTGCCATTGGTAGTCAAAATACATGTGGGAGCTCTGGGAATTGTCTTCATATCTCCTTGATAGCAATTTATATTTTTGGGTGAAAAAGAAAAAAGGCATTTTATCTGCACTACATGAATTTGCATTTGTTAAAACTCAGATTAAACTGTATTTCAATGGTTGGAAGCTCTGTAAAACACTCATTAACATACACTACTGAGTGTTCTATAGTTGTAGAGCCCTGTGATACTTTCATACTCCTTGCACTGTGGTGGGTGTTATTTCTGTGGAGCTATTACAGTAACTCATACATGTTGTACATTTCCATAAGTTGTATTGTGGAGCCCTGTGATACACTCATACATGCTGAACATTACTGTGAGTTGTATTGCTGTGGAGCTCCGTGACACACTCATACACTCTGCACATTACTGTGAGTATTATTGCTATGGAGCTCTGTGACACACTCATACACTGCACATTACTGTGAGTTTTATTGCTGTGGAGTTCTGTGATACACTCATAGACTCTGCACATTACTGTGAGTTTTATTGCTGTGAAGCTCTGTGACACACTCATACATGCTGAACATTACTGTGAGTTTTATTGCTGTGGAGCTCTGTGACACACTCATACACTCTGCACATTACTGTGAGTTTTATTGCTATGGAGCTCTGTGACACACTCATACACTCTGCACATTACTGTGAGTTTTATTGCTATGGAGCTCTGTGACACACCCATACACTCTGCACATTACTGTGAGTTTTATTGCTATGGAGCTCTGTGACACACTCATACACTCTGCATATTACAGTGAGTATTATTGCTGTGGAGCTCTGTGACACACTCTTACACTCTGCACATTACTGTGAGTTTTATTGCTATGGAGCTCTGTGACACACTCATACACTCTGCATATTCTGAATTTCGGATTTGGTAAAGAAGAGCGACTTACGTCAGAACTGAGAAAAGGAGGAATTTTGATTTCAAAAAGATCACTCCACTTACAATGAAACAGAAAATACATTTGATTTCAGGTCTTTTGATGTTGTTTTATGCCCCAAGAAAGCTCTGTTTACATTTAAAGCAATGCACATAATAGGTTAAGCTTACTGTAGTGTAGAGATAATGAAGAGCAGGTTTCAGGCAGTGACCTCAGGCACCCAGGTATAAAAGGCTTCTGCCTTGGTTCTATACAGATTGCCATTCGTTCTGGCACATGCCATATTTTTACAATCATGGGAAATAAAATGCTGAATAAAAGATAGGCTGGCTAAAAGCTATTTACATCACGGAAGCCTTTCTACCAATTACTTGCATGTGACTGGGCTGCCCTTTGATGCATTTCATTTGGGGCTAGCGTGATTTCTTCAAATAAGAACTTCGCACTAATGGTATACAGGAAGCAGATTGGATATCAATTATTAAAATCACATGTGATTGTTTTCAGCAGACACTAATTGTAACTGTATCAGTGCTGAAACAAAGCAAGAGGTAACGATGGCTCCCAAATCACCTGGACGTTTGACCTTTTCACTAGCAAAGTGTTGTTTAGTAAGCCAGAGCCTAAGAGGTTAATTTTAAGGGTTTATTAACGACTTTAAACTGGAGTTTGTTGAGTTGCAGTAAAGTTTTTGGGAAGGATTCATTGTATTACGTTCGGTTAGATGACCCGTAAGTGCTTTATATTACCTTTCTATGAATGTGGATCTACTGATTTACTTAGAGCGTCAGTTGACCACTCTAGCCAATCAGTGCCGGCACTCCATTCTTCATGTTCAGAAGCCAGATGCCGCCTGGGTGACCTGGAGATTGGCGCAGGAGGCTCGAGAATGGTTTAACCCCTTAAGGTAAGAGAGCGAGTGTGGGAATCCTGACACCATAAAAACATAATTTAGGTGAAGTTGTTATGGTGACCAACATGTCTCTTTAATAATGAAAAAGTGGGGCTAAAAGCACGTTTACAGCAGTATCATAATAGTTCAGAAATACTAAGTTAATTAGACTTAATGACCCAGGATTGGGAGCAGACAGGCAGGCACAACAATTGTACATAATGAGGAGATCTGTAACACGAGATACATTGCTAATGTACGGTCATCCATCTGTCCACTAGTTCCTCCGACCAGTCAAAACACGTATTATGTCAGTAATGCATTCTAGATTCCATTTCTCGTGATGATCTCAGAATTCTGGGAAATTGGTTAACAAATATCCGGAGTGCTAAGATTAGCCATTATCGTTACTGTATCAATAGTAAGACAAAGGATGAACACAATGTAACATTAAAAAAAAAGAGGAAAATGTACTAAAATGAGAATTGTTTGGAATTTATAATTAATTCAAAGTAAATTTCAACTTTCAGGTCTTATTAGTTGAACTAGAAGAATTACTTTACTTTCAATTCACTTTGAATTCCCCAAAAATCTCGTGTTAATAAATAACCCTGCCAATAAAACACTGTCCAGTGGTCACTGGTCCATCGCTATTATATACTTTAATTGGTCTTAAAAGTTAGTAAATATCTAAAATATCAATTCAGTTCCTCCCAATGGAACATATATAGGTGGAAGACAGGAAACAAACAAACCATCTAGGTGTAGTATTTTGGGTTTTCCAGACATTAAACGATAAGAATGTTTTACATTCAGTGCTCACATTGTTTGGAGCCTTTAAACAACTGGCTACAAGTTTACAGACTCTGCATCTATTATAGGGTGACACTACTCCTTCTGGAACTAGGATTCAAGATAAGGATGAGGATAGGTAAGTATTAAAAGTATTTTATTGACTGTTAAACAAAATTAGAAAAGCATATACACGCAGATAAACTGTAAAAAAATTAAATGGTATCCTCCTTTTCCTCCCCAGACGCGTTTCGCCTGTAGAATCAGCTTTATCAATTGATTTGTGCCATTGGGAGGCGTTGATTAAAAAATCCATTCCAGAAGGTTGTATATGCTACCTTAAAGGCACAGAGGCTTCAGAGTTTAGAGCCTATTTTCAAAAAAGCTCTAGCAAATGTGAGGTTAATCTCACACACTTCACTTTGTATATTATTTTGTTTATTTTTGGTTAATAGCTTTTTTACTTTCCATTTATGAACCCCAAACATAATTGAGGGGTAAGTGTTAAGTTATTTTAGTGCTGCACTCACACTCACACTCACACAAGGGGGAGCATGTCACCTAAACATTGAGTTAATTTTTTTTATTTATTTTTTGTGTAGTGGGTTGTATTGGAGTTGCCCACATAGCTCTTCTAGCTGCTACACATTACATATATCACATATAAAAACTTACTGTTTTTTCCACACTGTATTGTATTTATTTCACCATAACAATTTAACCAAAATGAAGCTGTTATGGTGCAAAGAGGTATCTGGGCACCAGCATACCTCAAGGGGTTAAACCATTAAAGAGCAGTTTAACCCCAAAGTGTTGAATCCGGCTTCTGATCGCCAAGCTAGTTCCACTACAGTGTAAGGATTGAATCAGGAATTAGGACTAAACTGGGAGCCACTGATAGGCTGAGAGGATCACTTTGTGTCAGTAGCTCCCCATTCACAAAACAGCTTGAAAAGACATTGGGGATGTGGATGGGGAGCTACTGAAGGGTTGAGGGTATTCTCTCCCAGGTTGAGGCTTCCTGATTAACATCTTAATAGCTCGGCAGAGCTATTGGGAGCTGAATCCAATACTTTGAGATTAAACCATTCACTAATGCCTTAATATTTAGATGTAAGCTGGCACCCAGGGACCTTCTCACACAATAAAAACTTAAATTGACACTATAGACACCAAAACAACTTTAGGTTAATTGGGTGTTTTGGGTGTAGATATCATGACCCTGTAGTCTCACTGCTCAATTCTCTGCCATTTAGGAATTAAATCCCTTTGTTTATGCAGCCCTAGTCACACCTCCCTGCATGTGACTTACATAGCCTGCCTAAACACTTCCTGTAAAGAGTAATCTCATGTTTACACTTCCTTTATTGCACAGTCTATTTATTTTAGAATGTCTTATCTCCTGCTAGATCCTGCAGGAACCTCCTGTGTTTGATTAAAGTTCGATTTTAACATCTAATAGAGAATTAAAACATTTTTCCAGTCACAGCTAGGGGAGGTGTGGCTAGATTTGCACAAGCAGAAACAAAAGTGATTTAACTCCTAAATAGCAAAGAATTAAGCAGTGAGGCTGCAGGGGTATGATCTATACCCAAAAACTGCTTAAATAAGCTGTCAGTTTTGAAGCATAATGTCCCTTTAATCTGATAAAGTTGTTATGGTGTCTGTGGTGTCCTTTTAACCAATCAGTATGAAGGGGCAGGTCAGTCGGCATCTGTGCTCTACAATTGGCTCAAAATTATCTCTCAATAAAGGTGGACAGCCTTGGCGGAGTTGTAAGAAGTGCGGCCTGATGATTTCAAACATTGATGCCTACTATTTGGACTGCATTTGTAACTTGAGCACTACACATTCATTTCTCACAAGGACACATTATGGAAAATAATCCTGAAATTGTTGCAGGTTAAGTTGAAAAAAGTTCTAGGTTTTACAGTAATTGTTAAAAAATGATGGAGCCCCTTTAAATTACCACACCTTGTCATCATAGTAACACCCACCTTCTTAATCTAAATGGACATTATATTGCTTTAGATCCCATACTGTACCTAATGATACTAACTAGTTATAATGGCAGATTGCCGCCAATCTCAGTATTCATTTCAGCATTCTAAGTGTCAAATCAAGAAACCAATTCGCTGCGCCTGGAGAGGTTTGTGCTCTAACAAATCC